GAACCTGAGAAACTGGCTTGCGAAAATTGCTAGGGCGGGCCGCAGAGGCTGAGGCAGGCAAGGGCCCAAGGGCACCCTTGAAAACGTAGTTTGTCCTTACTACGCGCGCTGCCCTGGCCGCGGACAAGAATGAGAGCACCCAGCGAGTCAATGCGCACCCGAGCGCGCGTTGCAACAAATCTAGCAATCGGCCGACGAACCACGATGAACTGAGCGACGTCAACAACACCCGCGGCAGAGAGGATTGCTGAGGGAGGAGCACTGCCCTCTCCCACCTTGCGCATAGCTGCCGCGAGCGCGTGCGGCAGGGTCAAAAAGCTGACGAACGGCCTTTAACTGCTTTGGGACCTGCAGGGGGTGAGCTGCGACACTCGAGCGCTCGAATGGCCCCGAGGTGGGGCTTCAACTGCTTCGACTAAGAACATCCAGTGGGGCCGAACTCTGGGGGCGGGAGGCGGGGGGTGGCGCGCGGCACAGGGGGGGGGGGGGGGCGTTGCTGGGCCAGGGGGCGGGGGTGCATACAGGGCGGCGCAGTTGAAGGACAATGGGGAGAAGGAGAGAGAGGTGCAACGTCGGTTTCGATCCCAGTAGGTGGAGAACAGGGGTCATGCATGGGGCGGGGCTGGGAAGGGGCTTATCAAGGTCTGGCCCGCGCTGGCCTGTCGTGGGCTCTTGCGCGACGCAGCTGCCTCCATCGTTGGCCAGGCCACTCCAAAGTGGGAGCTCGAACTACTGCGTGCTGGTCGATGGGGGTCTCGATCCCAAAAACATGGACTACTATTGTTTCGTGTTGCTCTACAGCGTTACTGATGATTGGGGTGGCATTCTCGGGGGCGTGCTCTCCCCAGAAACTTGCAATTGTCAATTGTTTCACCCCTCCTGCTCAGGTTGCCCCCCCCTCGCGCCTGCCGTTTGCCGCCCTCCCCCCCCCCACTCCCTATTCTGATCCCGCGGGCCTCTCGCAAGGTACCCCCACTTTCGAAACACCATTCTTTCGAACCGCGCCCTGTGCGTCGAGGCAGCTATGGACGCGACCACGCCATTCATTCCCTCATCAATGTACGTGTGGTAGTAGTGAGGTGAACCTTTTACCCGTATCATGTCGGTGAGATGTCGAAACAAATGGTGTTTCGGTAGGATTGGAACGCCTCCGAGGCCCGCGAGGTTACAATGCATTGCCGCAAACGCTTCCAAGTCATCGCACACATCGGCTGGCACTTTACGGGGCTGCTTCTCCAGCAAGTCACACCACTTCACCAGAGCAACGCCAGCCTGAAGCAATACGTTTGCTCTCTCCACGTCTGCACATTTATTGCCAAACTCCTCCATCAACCAAACCGAAAAGAAGAACAACCATTTGGATTCTGCTGCCTTCGTGCTTATCGAGGGGCTGGCTTTCGAACCGATCATCCCTTCTGTGATGTTCCCCACCCTGGTAACCTGGGACTCTTGGAGCCCCCGCCGATCCCTCTCTTTGGGGTACCACTCTGCCAAGAGAATCATAATGTTCTGCAGGCCAACCGAAACAATATCGTCCTGAGTAGAAAGCTTAAGACCGAAAATGTTCGCTAGCAAGAGCCTCCAGAAAACAGTGCCGATATATACTTTCATGATGCCTAAATGGACACAGTGCATCTCATCGATGCTGAATGATGTAATGCCTATTCCCAGCGACGCGTCGAGCAATGGATTGCGATGGTGCACCTTAGCATCCTGCGTTGGCCTCCAGAAACAGATCAGGGCAGGGCACTCCTCTAAATTGCTGAGCTTATCAAAGTCCATGGTGTCCAACATAGAAGGTATGGCCACGAGGCGATCGTTTTGTTTTAAGCCCAGCTCTGGGATATCCTGTGATAGTGCCCTCCCCTTGTGCTTCTTCTTGAATACTAACCTCCACCTCACCTTCCGATGCAGCTCAGAAGAGTCTAAGATAACCCACTTCTCATGGCTCCTGCATTCGGTATCGTAGCAATTCGGCCCGTGTGGCAGCAACGGGTTTCGAAGGTCGTGGTCCCTCAACTCTGACTGGGGGCAACTGCAAAAAATGCACGGCGCAGCATTGTGGGCGCAAGTCGGGAAGCCCATGCTCGTGCTCATCTCGGGCCAATCGGCCTTGATATCGACGACCACTGCGCGAAATCCAAGCTCCTGCCCGAGTGATTTTTTTACGTGGTTTTGTTCCAGAAGATCGCAGTGCCCCCTCTTTCTCATTGTCTTATTCCTCCTCCTCCTCCTCCTCCTCCTCCGCCTCTGCCTCCTCCTCGCTCCTCATGGTCGGCGTCGAATGCCCTTCCCTCCCCAATATCAGAATCTCACCATAACTCGCATCCACCGCGTTACACTCCTCCCTTTCACTGATGGGGACTGGCGACAAGGGGGGGGGGAGAGGCTGAAGCGCTGCTTCGCTCGCGCCCAGACTGCAGCCTATCACATCAACGGCAAACGCCCATCACTGGCCCGCAGTCGCACTTGCTCGGAGGGAACGCGCGAGAGGACGCAAGACCCTTCTGAGGGCCACATTGCCACGGGAATGTAGATGACATTGGCCGCGGAACAGAGAATGCACGGGCGCCCTTGATTTGGCGGGGCCGACCTACTAATCAGGGCCGACTGTGCTTTCTTCTGCCCTCGACCACGGGCGCGCAGGGCATGTCGCGAGGCAGCGCCCCCTGACCCTAACGTTTTGGGGCGTCTCGGCGAGGCGCAAGCAGTCGGGCGAGGGCGGGGCGCCACGGGGAGAGAGCGAGGATGACAGCGAGGGGGCAGGGCGCAGAACGATGATCGATGGGGAGAGTAGGGAGACGCCCCCCAAACCGGATGAGCGATGGAACGGGGCACCGCGGCGGCGAGGAGAATGGATGCATGGCCCCGCGAACACAAGGGCCCCCGCGCCCCCCGCTCTCTTCGCGAGCCGTTCGCCCCTGTTGCGATCAGCCCCCGCTCTCTTCGAGGGCAGTCCACTCTCCCTGCGCTCGAACCGAACGCCCCCCCCCCCCATCCCCCTGCAAGTGGCAGCGCAACACGTCACGCCCGCGTGCCCTTCAAATGCAACCACTGCTGCAACCCTCCCGCTCCTGTCCAGATCTTGCGCACCGCTTTGACTCGAACGGCAGCCACGGAGACCCGTCGTGGCGCTCGCTTGGGAATGTACCATTCGCTAGTGCTGATAGACTCCAGTGCAACAGCGTATACACAACATGCATTGAACAGTAATGACTGCACCCGCAGTCGCACAGGTCGCTCGTGCGCAGAGCCAGCAGAAGATGTCTTCTCCCAGAGCTCAAGAGATGACAGCTGATACTCCAAAAACTCTCGGTCTTAGTATATGGTGTCTTGTCCATGTATATTGCTATGGGCAGGGTTTTCAATCGCTCTTCGGGCGTGAGTTGTTTGACGATGTCGTGATCTTCGTATGCAGATATCCACTCCGCATCACGTACGTGCTCAGCCCAATCCGTCAATATTGACAGGTCGTTTGAAACCTCATCGAACAAAACTTCGTGCGGTAGTGATGCATGCACGGTCTGAGGCGTGCGCTCGATATCTCCCCTCGCTAGACCAGGTATATCGAACGAATAAAGCATGTCGTCGAATTGTGCGAAGCCTAATGCAGTGTCTAATTTCCTCTGGAAGTGTCCTGTTTTTGACGTGGCAGGCAATTTATATTTGAAGGCGTCTTCTACCCCGCAATCATATGCATACTCGCACAAAACGCACACTGAGCGTGCAGTCACTCGTTTCCCTGTCAAGTAATGGTCAAGCAACTCCTCGATAAACAAATGACTGCTTTCCTTTGCTTTTGCTTTCCTCTCAGCTTCTCGCGACGGGTCTTGTTTCCATTCTGGTTGTTCCCATGGCCGAGGGGGCGAAAGGCCGCGCTTGGGCATTGCGCGCTTGATCTGGAATACCCAAATGCTTGACATCAGCCCACAACGCAGTGCAATTCAAATCATCAATATCACCCGCAATGCGTACTACTGTGTTCCACTCTGACTGCGATTCGTATCGCTACTCACCCCGCCCCCTATCATGCGCCCTTCGGATATCTCTCGGGCAGCCAAGGCGCGCCTGAAGCAGGCCACACTTCGAGAGGCGCTGGAGTCAAGGGGCGCCCCGCGGCGAACAGGGCGAGAGACGATGATGCGGAGGGGGAAATGCTGCGAAGGGGCTGGGGGTGGGATGTTGCACGGCGTAATGCGCCCTGCGAAATGCTTAAGAAATCATGGGTTAAGAAATTCATAGTCTCATAATCGGAATACAAAAACACAAAATTTCTACTACGCTTTTAGGATTTACATTGAAACAGTAAGACTAATCGAGACTCTGGCCGAAACCTTCCGTTTTCTTAAGCATCGCCTAGGGTGTAGGGTGCACAGGGCGGGGGGAAGCGGGGCAAGTGGGGTATAGGTCGGGAGTGCAATAGTTATCTGACTTCTCCCTAGTAGAAAACTTCATGTATCGAGCGAACCCTTGCACGCTCGATTGCCCCACAAAAACGGCGAGAATCGAGCCGACGTTCTTTCCTCGCAAGAGCCTCGCACGAGGCGCATACAAGTCATGCCGCAACTGGCCATGGCTGCTGGAGGAGCGGACTCTGAGCGAGAGTGAAATCATCCTGCTGTCATAATGAACGCATTATAAGGAACGGTCTGGCCATGGCGGGCCTTGGCCACGAATGGGACCCACGACGTGAATCTACTGAACGGCCCTCAAACTGGCACCCAAATATGTCCTCACTCCAGCGTCTAAACTTCACGGAACGAGGAGAGCAGAAACGCTGGAAAAAAATTGCCATTTGAGACACTGCACACTTTCCCCACAAGCGTCGCGAGAGCGGCTTGAAGTTCGCTGCTTCTTATCGCGCAGAAATGCTTCAAAAAGAAACGCCTCATTGTCATTCTCGCCCTCCTCAGGTACCTCTCAACTGATAGGTGTTTCCGCGACTATTCCCCTGGAGAACGGTGGGAATGATGAACGGCGCAGACGCGAGGTTGGCGCCGTGTTAAAGCAGGGGCCCGATTGAAAGGGGGGGGGGGAGGGAAGGAGGGGGCGGAACTGAAGGGAAGCCCTGGGCAGGAGGAGTGGAAGCGGAGGAGGGGCAGGGCGAGGCACTCGGATTTCTAACGCCAAGCATTTTCCAGTTTTCTCCGGATGGTTTCTCGGAGCTCTCCGGAGCTCTGCAGAGTTCATCGGAGTTCATCGCTGTTCATCGCGGAGTTCATCGCCCATGATTTTTGTGTTTTTCATATATATATATATATATATATATATATATATGGTTTGGCAGCTGTTTCATCGGAGATCATCGGTTCAGAGTTCATCGGTAGTGTTTCGGTGGGGGAACCGGAGCCTCGCCAGCCGAATTGGCCGCGCCCTCACCATCTTCCCCTCCTAGCTCTCTGTCACCTGTTGCTGGGTTCCCTGGGGGCCATGCAATGAGTGCACCCCGCTGCTGAGCTCTATGCTAGTGCAGTCTAGCCCGCTGCAGCTGCCTGATCCCTACTGTGCCTATTTCTTAGCCCACTTGTTGTTCAACGCGTGCTGCTCGTTGATGATCTGGTTCAGCTGGATAAGCTCGTCCACAGGCTGAGTCATCCTGCCCCCCCCCATCTATCCACTGGCGCCAGATGAGCAAGGGGGGGCGGGACAAGGCTCGCATCGAGAGGCGGGGGGGCGGGATGAAGGGGCAGGGATGGGGGAGGGAAGGGGCAAATGAGGGGCGAGAGGGGCGGGATCGAGTCCTTCGCATTCAGTCGCAGTTTCGTTTTTGGATGAGGGCGAGAAGGACGGACGTCGGACGAGTGGGAGTGTTGCGGTCGAGTGCAATCAGATCGAGTTCTGAATTGTAAGTTTCTAGTTGGCTTGATGTATGTATCACTGTTCTCTGGCTGTGATCACATCTTGTGATCTATAACTATATAGAGTTACGTGTACATGTGTGCGTCGTGTTCTATATATAAGTATGACTAACGGTGTGTAGACATATCTGCATTAAGTGCAATGCTCTGAACACACGCCCGCTGTCCTGTCAGTAATCTTCTTATACTCCTCGATAAGCTCAGTCGGCGCCATGTCCTTGACGAGGCTGGCCTTGTTCTCGATGCACATGCGCACGAAGTAGTCGGTGCGGCTGCTCATGGCATGGTCGACCTTCTTCTGCAAGGACTGAGCCCAGTCGTCTGGGTGAACCTCCCTCCCCCACGCGGGGCGAACGAATGGGCGCAGGGCCGAGGGAGCGGGCGGAGTGGAGTCGGTTGGAAGGGATTGGAACCACAAGGGGCACGTAGTGCGGGGGGGGGGCGAGGCGAGGGGGGGCGGGAACGAGAAGGGTCTGGGTTTGGGCGGGCCAGGGAATTGCGCAGCGAGCGGGATCATTCACTGCAAGTGCGAAAGCAGACCTACAGTGAGAATGCATAGTAAGGACGCGTGGTAAGGACGCAAGACCCTTGGAGGCCGAAGTTGAAGTATTCTTGGCGGCAGGCGGCCAAGCACCCAGGGAACGCGAGAAACTAGCCTGCGAAAGTTGTTAGGGACGAGCCGCAGAGGCTGAGGCAGGCAAGGACCCAAGGGTACCCTTGAAAAAGTCGTCTGTCCTTACTATGCGCGTTGACTGTACTTCACGCGAACTCGTTCGGTCAAGTGTGGAGGGAGGAGGACGATGAGAGAGGCCGCGCCATCCCCCCCCCCCCCCGCACCTTCAACCACTTCCACTCGGGCATGGCGTTCATCGCGGACAGGAACGTGGAAGCAGTATTCACCGCCGTCTGGTAGGTCGCCAGCACTGCCTTCGCCTTGGTCTCTGCTGCTTTGACGAGCGCCTGCTCATCCTTTTTCCTTTGCTTTGCTGCCCTTTCCTCGGGCGTCTCGATCTTCTGCTGCCCCTTGTCGAGGGCGCAACTACTCGCGCTCCCCAACCCTGGCCATCCCAATAGTGAACACAAGATCGGTGCACATGACTTCGTGGCCAAGCCATGGAAGCGTAAGCACCGATCCTGTGTTCGGAATTGACTTGGCCAAGATCTTAGGCGTATAGTTGGCGCCCCGACACCTTGGACGCGGGCTTGGCCCGTGCCTTCGCCCTGCGCCTCTGGGCTGGCTCCTCCACCTCCTCTCCAGGAGCTTGGCCGCCGCCCGCTGCCGCCTGGGCTGCCACCTGAGCTGCGCTGCCCGCTGCCACCTGAGCTGCGCCGCTGGCTGCCACTGGAGCCGCGCTGCCCGCTGCCACTGGAGCTGCGCCGCCCGCTGCCACCTGAGCTGCGCCGCCCGCTGCCACTGGAGCTGCGCCGCCTGCTGCCACTGGAGTTGCGCCGCCTGCTGCCTCTGGAGCCGCGCTGCCCGCTGCCGCCTGAGCTGCGCCGCCCGCTGCCACTGGAGCTGCGCCGCCCGCTGCCACTGGAGCCTCGCTGCCCGCTGCCACTGGAGCTGCGCTGATGTGCCCGCTGCCACTGGAGCTGGCGCCATCACCATTGTACTTGCGGCGCTTGCTGTCCTGCAGATTGGGGCGGGGGGGCGGGGCGGGGGGGGGGCGGGGGTGGGGGTTGGGTGGGTGGTGTGGGGTGGGTGGGGGGGGGGGGGGGGGGGGGGGCGCGCCGATGGCGATGATGATGATGATGATGATGAGGGGGAGGGGGAGGAGGAGGAGGAAGAGGAGGATGGCGATGACGACAGTGATGACTGTTATTCTGGCGACGATGATGCTGGCGATGATGGCGCTGCTGCCACTGCTGATGATGACGCTCATGATGACGATGATGATGAGGATGATGCTGAGGAGAAGGAGGAGCTGGAGGTGGTGGGGGAGGGGACAGGTTGAGGACGAGGGGGTGAGGAGAGATAACGGCGCTCTGATGAATACCCTCAGCCTCTTCTTCCTCTCCTTTCCTCCTCCTGCTCCTCCCCTCCCACTGTTGCTGCTGATCCCCCAACTCGTCTTCCTCCATCCAATCGTCGTCCTCCTCCGCCGCCTCATCCCCCTCATCCTCCTCCCCCCCCTCCTCCTCCTCTTCCTCATTCCACATTCGCCCGTGCACTCCTCCTCGAGCTTATGGTTGCCCTCGTCGATACTCGCAACCTGCAGGGCCTGCTCCTCCAGCCCCCTCTTGGCCAGGGCCTTCGCGGCCTCGCTGACCTGGGCTAATGCTCCAACTCCCCCAGAAGTCGCTGCGGAGGGGGAGCGGGGAAGGGGCTGGGCCATTAATTGGCAGATTCATCTTAGGAGTATGCGCATGCGCAACTATATATATATATATATATGCGTGTGCAGACATGCATGCATATGCGATTGTGTGTGTGTGTGTGTGTGTGCGTGCGTGCGTGCGTGCGTGCGCGCGTGCGCGCGCGTGCGTGCGCGCGCGCTAGCGACAGCCTGGTAGAGGGGGGCGGGGTGCTCAGGACGGCGCAGGGGGGGCGGGGGGGCGGCAGCAGCTGGGCGCGTGGCGCGCACTTCTTTCAAGGCACAGCCCGGCCCGCGAGCAACTCCCCGCGGGGGGGGGTCTAGGGGGGAGGGGGGGGGGGGTGATCATGAGAACGAGCGGCAGGATGACATATACCCGCAGACCTCCATTCCAGAACTGAGACCTGCGCTGCTGAGCACCGTCTCCAAGTCAGCCGTGGGCTGCAGCTCCTTGTAGCTTGTCCACGCCTTCTCCATCTCCTCCCGCCTGCCGACTTCGAGGTAGAGGTAGCGCATACGCTTGGCCATGTCGTCCCACCTGCACCAGTCGCCGCCCATCTTGATGCAGCTCTCGACGTAGTTCTGGGCGGCAACTATGTTGGTGGGGTCGTCGTAACCCCCTTCTTCCTGCCCGCCCCCCGTTCGAACTCACAACGCGCGTGCTCGCGCGACCATTCGTGAGAGCACGCGCGCTGTGAGTTCGACGTCGCGCACTGCCACTGAGCGCGATGCAACTGATGCGAACGCACGCACACGAGCCAACCCTGCGCCTCCATGAAACGGTCGGCGCTGTAGGCCGATGGGAAGAAGGACGAGATGAGGGGGCGGGATCAATGAACGCAGAAGCAAGACAATGATGAGAGGGTGCATGGAGGACCACACGACGCAGAAGGCCGCTGTTTCGACCTGCCATGCTTGCGCATCGCTTGCCCCCTCCCCCTCCCCCCTGGCGCCCGCCTGAACGATCTTCGAGAAGCTCTTGTACGTCGCTTTCTCGGTCGACACCTCCCGAGATAATAATGCGCGCGCGGTGTGACCCAGGGTGGGCGAGAGCGAAATCTCTCCTTCGTTCGTTCTCCCTGTCTCGTTTTTTTTTGTTGTTGTTTTTTGTTTGTTCTCTCTCTCTCTCTCTCTATCACCCTCTCTCGCTTTTGTCATCTCCCTCCTCTCCTATCTCTCGGTGCCCACCCTCCCTCTATGCCAATATCTATGTAGATGGAGCGAGAGAGAGCGATAACGAGAGAGAGAGAGAGAAAGAGATATGGGGAGCATCGTGGACAGGGGGCCAGAGAAAGACAGAAAGAGAGAGGGAGAGAGAGAGAGAGAGAGAGAGAGAGAGAGAGAGAGAGCGACCGAGAGAACGTGAGGGATCCAGAGGGATACACGCAGCACCTGCAGGGATAACAATAGAGATGGAGGGAGAGAGGAGAGAGAGAGAGAGAGAGAGAGAGAGAGGGAGCGATATAGAGAGAGAGGGAGAGCGCGAGAGAGAGACATGAGGAGAGACAGAGGGGGCGCGAGATGCAGACGGGGCGGAGAGGGAGGGAGGGGGGAGGAGAGAGAGCGAGAGAGAGAGAGACTACGAACACAGACAATGCCAGAAACAATCGTGCACACTGCTGTCTTGCCGCCACTGAGCAATGCTCCACCTCCAATCCCCTCCCGCCTTTTTGTATACTTCCATCTTGCTGAATACCTCCTTCAACGTCTTCAGCTTCCTCATGGCCCACTCCTTCCTGAACTGTTGCTTCGCGGCGACCGTGTTGCCGACCGCCTTCAGCGCCTGCGGGCGCGGTCGGGCGATGCACTATCTCATGCCCCCCAGGTTCCTCAGCTCTAGTGATGTAGGTTCGCTGCGGCTCACTGCTGCTACTTGCAGGTGGCACAGGCGGGCTGCAGCGAACCGTAGCAGGTCCCATTCGTGAATGACACCTGCAACTGTTCTAGGTGATCATCATAATGACCACTGGTTATGGTCTAGGACATCATATGGGAGCGTTCGGGGGAATCATATATACGCCCACCCGTGCCTCTTTCAGCTTCGGGTCTTTGTGCACCGCCCTCTCGAACTGCTGCGCCACAGGGGTTCTCGTTTTCACTCCGTCTTTGATTGCGTCCTCTAACTGTTTGATGAGCTGGGCATCTGTGCCGCTCAACTCCTTCGCAGCCTGCTTCTTGAGCTCCTCCTCCCCTTTCTGTGTCAGGAATGTCTCCAATTGGTTCACACGCTGCATTAGGTCTTGCGAGTGGCCACCCCCTGCCCGATCAGTCTCGAGCTTGACGTTAATGAAGCCACCGCTGTCGCCGCCGCTGCTGGAGCCCACTTCGCACGGTTGGGTGCCCCTCTGATCAGCAGGTGGTTCGGCTTCCATTGGGGCAATGGCTCCGAGGTCGTCGGCTGCTCCAGCGCCGCTCGGATGTGCCGTGCGCGTGGGGCTCGAGGCTGGCGCCATCTGACGCTCGGGATCTGACATGCCAACCCGTTCGTGGTAGCGCCTGCGTTGTTCTGAGTCGTCTGGCATGCGGTCTGGCAGCGGTGACTCCTGCGTGGGCAGGTTGTGCTGAGCGGCTGGCTGGCCTCCTGTCGACTCCACGGGAATCTGCTGGCTGTGCTGAGCGGCTGGCTGGTCGCCATCCCGTTGCATGGGCTGGCTGTACAGCGGCTGGCTGGTCGCCCTCGCGGTGCACGGGCTGGCTGCGCTGAGCGGCTGGCTGGTCACCCTCTCGTTGCATGGGCTGGCTGTGCTGAGCGGCTGGCTGGTCGCATGTCGACTCCACGGAAACGGGCTGGCTGTGCTGAGCGGCTGGCGGGTCGCCATCCCGTTGCATGGGCTGGCTATGCTGAGCGGCTGGCTGGTCACCTTCGCGTTGCATGGGCTGGCTGGGCTGATCGGCTGGCTGGTCGCCATCCCGTTGCATGGGCTGGCTGTGCTGAGCGGCTGGCTGGTCACCCTCGCGTTGCATGGGCTGGCTGGGCTGATCGGCTGGCTGGTCGCATGTCGACCCCACGGGAATGGGCTGGCTGTGCTGAGCGGCTGGTTGGTCGCCCTCGCTCTGCATGGGCTGGCTGTGCTGAGCGGCTGGCTGGTGGTCACCCTCGCGCTGCATGGCCAGGGCTCTGTCCCACATGTGCTCGTGCAAGGGGGGGTGGTCGCGGTGGCCGTGCTCGCGCGTGGAGTCCACCAACGTCTGCGTCATCTGGCTGGAGGTATCGTGCACGCGCTCTGGTTGCTCTATCGACTGGCGTGGTGGAGTGGCGCCGCCCAGCGCGGCAGGAGGCTGGCGCTGGCTGGCGTTGGAGAGCGGTGCCTCGCCCAGGGAGGGCACGGCGAGAGGGGATGAGAATGGCGTGGATGACGAGGGTGGCGAGGTGTGCGTGGGGGGGGGGGGGCGGCGAGGGCGGCCATGCCTCTCGACCCCCCTCATCCCCACCCCCTTCCTCCCCCTGTTTCAGAACGCTGACTCCCACGGTGCCCCAGAGAGAAAACATGGAATGGGGGAGCCGCAAGGGGGATGGGGGGGGGAGGGGGCGGAAGAGAATGCCCCATTCGACTAAATTCACTCACCCTTCAAACCTCGTCACTGGACCCGTCCAAGTCGATGACACCAACGGGCTGCTGACCCGCCGTCGCCCTCATCACCTCCGCCACTGTGCAGTCGTCACCGAAATCTCCCTGATTAACCTCGTGCCGCACGGTGCCGTCTAGTTTGAAACTGCTGCCCTGAAACGCAACGAAGTCCCTGTCCCTGCCGCTCTGAGGCATCGGATCGCCGCTGCCGACGCCGCGGTGTGAGGACATGTGGCCTATAATACATAGATCGGCCAATGGTCGCTGCTTGGGCCAAGTCGTTATCGGGATACAATAAACCCGCAGAACATGGATGCGCGATAAGGGTGCAAGGGCCTTGGACGCCCATGTCGAAGCTTCCCGAGCGGGGCGCGGCCAACGAAAGTGCCCAAGGATGGGCCCAGGAAGCAAGGATGCAAGGGTACCCTTGGGAGGGATGCCTATCCTTACTCTGCGGGTTGACGGTGTCCGTAGATCCCACGGTCAAGCCGCCACTTCCAAACCATTGGCTTGCGCGCCATATCTCAGCATGGTTCCCGCGCCCAGTCCTGCGACTGCGCGCTAAACATCGTTTCCAGACGGGCTGCCCCCTCAACCCCTGCGCCCGCGATCCTCTTGCGCCCTCCTCGCACGCACAGTCTGGGGTGCTTCGCCTCCAGCGGTAGTGGCCAAATACTCGACACACACGGCCGTCATACTAATCCATCCAACCATCCAGTTCTCTCTCTTTCTCTCCCTCTTTCTCTCTCTTTATCTCTGTCTCTCGCCCCCCCCTCTCTCTCGATCTCTCTCTCCTTCTCTCTCTCTCTCTCTCTCTCTCTCTCTTTATCTCTCTCTCTCTCTCTTTCTTTCTTTCTCTCTCTCTCTCTCTCTCTCTCTCTCGCTCTATCTCTCTCTCTCATTCTATGCGCACCCTTCGAGATATACATGCAGTCAGGCGCGATTTTTTTGTGTGCGGGGGGGGGGAGGGGCGTGGTCGGACGCAAAACCATTTTTCAGGGCTGTAAAAGCAGGATCGACCTACTCATCGCACCGACTGTACACGTATATACACCCCTGTCTCCATTTCTGCTTGCAAACAAGCGCGACGGCAGTGCGAGGTCGAGCCGCCCCCTGGCTCGGGGAGAGTCAGTCTGACTCGGTCTTCTTCTGATCTTCATCAAGATCATCCCGATCACCTCCCCATCCCCGCGATTGCAAACGATGGGTCGTCGACATTGGGAATTGGCTTGGCAACGCATCGGAATGCGTTGCCAAGCCAATCATAGCATCGACGACTGAATGAGAGACTGACGAGGATGACATGGCTGAGAAACGATGGAATCAGGCATGACGAGCACGACGAGGATGACATGGCTGAGAAACGAAGGATGACTAGGATACATGACGAGAATGAGCATAGGAATGGCTGAGAAACGATGACGAGGAGGCAGCGCCCCTGCACCGCCGCCCCACCTGGCGCAGCTGCAGTCAGCTGTTCCACCTCCTTGTCCCGCGACTCGTACACATTGTCGGCGTTGATCTGGCCTCCCCCCCTTTTCCTCACGATCGATCTCTTTCGCTCGGTCGTGTTTTTTTTGTTGATTCTCTCTCTCTCTCTCTCTCTGTTTATTTGTTTTCTCTCTCCCTCTTGCTCTCTCTCTCTCTCTCGCATGTTATTTGCATCTTGCGTTATATATTACTAGATGCCTATATCACTCCTCCTATTCCTGCCTCTCGGCCTCACTCTCCATCTCTCTCTCTCTCTCTCTCTCTCTCTCTTTCGCATTTCTCTTGGCTTCCTGGATATCGCTCTGGAGCTGCATCTCTCTCACTCTCCCTCTCCCTCCCCCGATCCTCTGAATCTAAACGCTCCTCGCCAGGCTCCATCGTACTTCACCGCTCTTCATTGCTGAGCTCATCGCTACTCTCCCCGACCTTGCGATGCGACATTCCCAGTGTCCTGCGGAGTACTTCTTGCACAGGTTGACTATGGCCTGGCGCGCAATCTCGTAAGTCACCTCGCCTTTGATCGTCACCTGGCATACCTGGCTCCACTTCTCGCCTGGCTTCGCCTTCTTCTCCTGCATCACGAAGATCGAGTGCCGATCCTGGGGGCGCGCGAAGGCAGTGCTTCGTCGCGCGGGGCATGGGCTAAGGGTGGATGGGGGCAGGGGTAGGGCGAGAGGGCGGGCAGGGGGGGAGAGGATGGGGAGTATAAGGAAGAGACCAGATGACGAGGATGACCGGAGGGCGAGGATGGGCGGGGGGGCGAGGAGGATGGGCAGATAGGGAAGGAGGACCAGGATAAGGGCGATGTGAGGATGGCCTCTAATTCCCCAGGACCTCAGCGCACGCAAGTTTTGAAGTGACAGTACAATTTTGACACCAACGCTGGAATGGGCCTGAGCGGCGGACAGAAGCAGCGGGACAAACAAAACAAGCATCTCCTTCTGTGGCTTCAACTTGGCCTCCAGCTTTTTCCTCCCATCATGCGTCTTTCCTTCCCACACTGGCGGTACCCTGCCCTTTCCAGGATGCGTTTTCACCTCCAGCGCTTCTGCCAAATCTTCAGGCCTCATGTTTTCCACGCGAATCCATTCTCCTGCAATCTTAGCCCTCACCTCGTTCTCATAACTCGTGCTATCAAGCTCGTCGCTGTAGATGGGCGGACCTTTCTTCGCTCCCGAGCCCGCCCGCTGCATGTACGCCATGGCTTTTGCAGAGCACCACTTCGCTGTCTTCTCATCTCCTCCTGAGCTCTTCCCTCCTGCCGCGACTGCTGCTGAACCTGCAGCTGCCTTCCCTGCTGCCTCAGCCGTCTCATCCAGCTTCCTCTTCTTTGCAGCCTCCTCTGCCTGAGCCGTCATTTCTCGCTGCATTGCAACGTGCCTCCTCTGCTCGATTTCGTTGAGTCTACTCACTACGCTGGGCCATGCATCGTCGAAGACACTTTCCTCGATCTCGTCGAACACTTCAACTTGCCTAACACTAGTCATAACTGTCTTTGATCCAAGCTTGATCCGATGAGCTAGCATTTGTCTCTCTGCATCGACTTCGGGGCCCTCGCATTCTTTATCTGTAAACGTGGCTTTCAACCTCTTGGCTTCTTTTTTGCGTGCCTCAACTGCGCCTGCTGCCCCTGCTGCTGGTTTCTTTCGCACCGTCTCCTCAGCGCCGTCACCTGATGCCTCATCATCGTCAGCTGGCTTGGCAGCAGGCCTCTTCGCAACTACTTTCGAGGCTGGTCTCCGAAGCACCTTCTTTAGCTTTTCACCTGGCTTGTCCTCATGATCTGTTGGCTCATCGGATGCTTTCTTCGCTGGCCGCTTTGACACGGGCGTGGCTTTCTCTTCGTTGTGCTCTTCGTCTTCGTCTGCCTCGTCCTCGTCCTCTTCCTCTTTGATGCTTCTAGCGGCTGCCTCTTCCTCCTCCTCTTCTTTTTCCTCCTCATCCTCATTAGTTTCTTCTTCCTCTTCCTCTTCCTCTTCCTCTTTGATATCCTCATCTTCGCATTCCGCCTTCTTGTCCTGCTCGCAATCATCTGACGCGGGCCTCTTCATCGCTACGAACGGCCGCACCCACTTCGTATCGGGGTGCCTGTTGATCGCATCGCGGATGTGGCATAGCGCCGTTCGTAGCCTGTCAGCATGAACCTCAACCCACTCTTCAGTCTCCTGCCCTGCCCCTGGCGACAGGGATTACGCGCGAAACATGCAACCGCCCAAACCACATTGCGACCACCTGCTTCCTCACCTACTGCCATCGTGCTACCAGCAAGACCGTTGAATAAGGAACGAGCTTTTCTGACCACGGCGAGCCTCGGCCACAACTGGTCCTCATGCCAGCGTCTTGGGAGGCTCGGGGGCCGATGGGGAAGAGGGCGACGACGGGGGGGGGCGAGGTGGGCGCGGGGAGAGATGCAACGTCGTCGCGCGAACGCACCAGAACAATCCCCAGTCCCACCGTCGACGATAGCTTCCCCAATCCAGACGTCTTCTTGAGCGCAATGATGAGCCTCATGGCGGTTTTCCACGTGGCCGCAGTAACCTTTTCGCCTTCGACGATCCCCCGCAGCTTGATCAACATGGGCTGGTGCTGCCCGCCCGAGGGGGGACGTCGACCGCAACGACTGCGACGGGAACGTATCACCGACGACGGGCGGATATCACAATGGTAACGAGTTTCACGGATTGAGGGCGGGTGCTTTTCAAAATGTTGTTCTCGCCTCAGCGCGGCGCACATTCGCGTTGAACTCAGCACGGGTTTCACGGATTGAGGGCGGGTGGTTTTCATCAGAACTGTTGTTTGTTTTTTTGTTTTTCTCTCTCTCTCTCTCTCTTTCTCTCTCTCTCTCTCTCTCTCTCTCTCTCTCTCTCTCTCTCTCTCTCTCCCCATCTCCCTCTCTCACTATATCTCTCTCTCTCTCTCTCTGTGTCTCTCCTCTCTGTCGCTCCTCATGCGCCCCCTTCGTTCCCTCATCTCGCTGCTCCCTCCCCTTCTCGCCCCCTCTCCTCATCCTCGTAATCCTTGCCCCCCCTCCCCGCCTCTATTAGCCTCTCCGTGATGACCTCGGCGGAGCGGAGGCCCCGCGGGTACTGGAAGAAATTGGGCCCCCGCACGTGCTCGAGGAGAGCCTCGGGTCGGGCGGGCGATGGAAGGGGAGAGGGGGGACGCTGCGGGGAAACGATAGAGCGATAGAAATAAAGGATGGAAGAGTAGAGGGGGGACGCTGCGGGGAAACGATGGGCAACGCTCCAAATCGTTGGGCGTTGCGCAGGGGCAAACGGACGGGCCCCGTCCATTTGCCCCTGCGCAGCGCCCAACGATCTGGAGTGTCTGACCCCGTCCGACGGGGTCAGGGGCGGGCGGCGGGCGCCTTCGCTATGACCACGGGCTTGATGTTCTCCTCGCCGTCCTCGCAGCCTTCGTCGCCATCGTGCGGCGACGTCGCGCCCCCCGTGGTGCCCGCCATCTTGAGCACAGGGGCGCTGGCGCGCGAGACGGGGGGGAGGGCGGAGGGCGACGGAGGTGGGATGGAACGGCCGACGACGGCAGTGGAGGAAGAATATGAAACTATGTACCCATATGCATATATATGTTTATATATATACACATATATATGTATATTTATATAGATGTAGAATGTGCATGTGTATATTTAAGCAAACACACCTACATATATACATATATGTATATGTGTGTATTCATATACATTATATGTGTTAATAAATACTATGTATGCATGATATATATATATATATATATTGTAAGTTGTATATATGTGCGTTTGTATACACATATATGTATAAACATATACACGCATTGCTACACACATACATATACATGTATACATATATATATAGAGCACGTACGCGTGCAAATATACATGTATGTATCTACGCACGCATGCCACCATATATTGGCATATAAACCGGAACCAAAAGATAGCACCGGAACCATCTTGTATAGCAGGACAGATCCGGAACCATTTTTGATATTCATACAACTAGCATTCACGACCGGAGCCGCTACATGGTTCCCAAGGACCTCTGGGCTTGAATGCTGGAGCTAACTTGCGATCGAGGCTGGCGCGCCCCCGCAATCCTGCAGCCGCCCCGTCGCCATCGCGGCGCGCTCGGCAGCGCGCGGAAACTGGCGAGCGTCACCGAGCCGACCCGACGCGCTGCAGACTCGCTTGCGGAGGCGTCGCTGCCACTCAAGAACCCGAGCGGCGCGAGGAAGAGCAGGACACGCGATCTTCCTTGCAGGGCGTTGCGAGCGCAGGGGCGACGCCCAGCGCGCATCGCGCGCGCGCGGCGTTGGGGCTGACGGCGACGGGGGCGCGAGATCGCAACTCGCGCCACCGCTCTTATTGCCCTGGTCAGTTGCCGAAGGCGCTTTTACAGGAGGCGGCGTCTGACGCGCCGGGGGCGGCGCCCGCGGCGACGGTCGGAGCGACGCTGCAGCTGCTGGTGGGCGGGTGGCGCGCAGAGAGGTATGCCGCGCGCGGCCTGATGAGGCCGTCGCGACGCGCTGGCTGTCGGAGCTGGTCAGCGCAGCGCCCGAGGTTGCGCGCGTCGCCCGCGATCGCGATGGCCCGCTGCGCGCGCGAGGAGTGATGCCCATCAACTGTGGGCAGTTTCCTCCGATGGGGCCTTCGCCTGATGTTCAGAAAACCTTGTCAGGCCATCCTGGCCCGCGTCTACTTGGCCACACTTATCAAGTCCGCAGGAAGGAGAGCGAGGGGGGGCATCGAGGCATTGCTGTTGGAAGCGGAGGGAATTCTACTGGTTCAGCCTGAAAGCCCCACCGGACCCTTCCATAGCGAACGCGCCGCGCACTTCATGCTTCTGGGGGGCAGAACCGCCAGGAGTGTCAACCAATCGCTTGCGAGGGCCCCAGCGCTGACCTGCCGAAGTGCGCGCCAGTCGCCACGCTTCAGCACGCCGTTGCTCCTGCCGTGCCAGCTGGTTCTCTCTCGCGAGTTGGACCGTCACTGCTTCGCAGCGCCCGCGCTGAAGTCGTCGAAGCTTTCGCGAGCGCCGAACAAGTGCCAGCGCAGACTGCGCGCCATCATTTATCATGCTGCGTTGGTGTCGCCGAAGAGCGCAGGGCCTCGGGCGTTCGATGGCGCGCTGCGCGGCTTTCTCATCGGCCGGAACCTTGACGCTGAAGTGCCCCTCGGCCGTCGCACGCGTTGCGGCGGACTGCTTGCCAAGCCGAGTCGGGGGCGCTGCCCTGCATCGGCGCGTCGCGATAATCGGGTGCCAAGGAGAACTGATGCTCAAGATCCGCCATGAACTTCGCCACGCCGTCGCGTTGCCTTCAGGCCTGCTCTCATCGGATTCTGTCTGGACGAAACGAAAGTAAGTCGATTTCGAAACTGGCGCGCGATGACGTAAGGGCGTGTTGTTGCAAGCCTCGCGTTGTCATCATCTTGAATATCCGCTTCGCATCCCGAAGCCCAACGCACGTCTCCCCATAACTGTTCTACCGCGCCGCCTGAATGCCGCCGCATCGTCCATAACGCGAGAGCTGCAGCGACCGAAATATGCACCTCCGACTCGAAAACCCATCGACACCACGCAGAACGCATGCCGCACAAAGACTTCGATCACTCGATCACCAGCGCGCCGTTGCAAGCCTGGCCCGCATTCTCCGAGGGCGGGTGGCGTGGAAGGAACAAACCACAGCTAGAAAGCCGTTGGATGCCAAGCGAATCGTTCAGGTCGCACCCTCCGAAGACCGCCGATCGAGCCTCAGAACATGTCTCCAGCCAGGAGCACATGCAGCCCAGTGAATCTTTGTATTGTCGGACAGGTGGATATTATGTGCATTCGCGGCAGTCGCGACGCTTGGAAGGTTTGGGAAGGAAACGTGCGAACTGGATCATGAGGGTCGAAACTCCCTGAACGAAAACGGTGAATAGGGCCATTGTTCCTGAAGAAATCTCGGAAGAGGCGGGGGTCCACGACGCGTTCCTGCCGAATGTTCCCATCCGCGATAAGAAGGTGCTATACATGACTTATTCACGTGGCGCCATGCAGCAAAGCCGTTGCGTAGAACAATTTGGTGGGAATGGGTTGGTTGCCTGCATTCCCACCCCTACCTGTCAAGGCTATCACATATAGGTGCTCGAATCCGTCCGGCATGTCATGCACTCGCAACTAGTCCGCCACAGCCATCGTATCCCAATGTGAGAAAGATCAAGAAGGAAAAGTGGGGAGCGCGCCGAAGTGCCCGTGGGGTAATCCAGCAAATACGAGTTACAGTTCGCGGATCTGTTGCGCAAGTCCTGAACCCCGAGCAAGGGGGGTCAGGAGGAGACGGAAGAGGAGGAGGAGGAGGAGGAGGAGGAGGAGGAGGAGGAGGATTACGAGGAAGAAGCGGAGGCGGTGGCGGAGGAGGCGGAGGACGAGGAGGCGGAGGCGGAGGAGGAGGGGGAGGAGCAGGAGGAGGAGGAGCAGGAGGAGGACCCAGAGAGGCCCTGGGGGGAGGGGAGACCAGAGACGGGCGGGGAACTGCAAGCACCACGGGCCGGGGGCACGCCTGTCGGCACCCGGTATGCGGTTTTCTCTCCACGATCTGGCACAGGGACTGGATGGCCTGCTCCCTGATCACAGTCTCCTCCTGCGCGGCCAGGTGCTCCAGGGGACCGATCAGCAGCTCGTCGCGGCCGCTGATGTAGTCGGAGAGGACTGCGTACTGCCTGGCCATGCTGTAGAGAAACTCCTCCAGAGGAGCAACAAGCGGCAACAGCACAAAGTTGGGGAGCTCCACGCGGACCTCTCGGATCGGCGCTGGGCCCCCTGGTGGCGCTTCTGGCGGCCGCCCCAGCCCGCTCCGCGCTCCCAGGGGAGGGGGGCCCAGCGCCGTGCCGCGAGATCCGCGCCGACCTCCGAAAAGCCCACGCTCGGGCACTGCGTCGCCCTTCGCTCCTCGTCGTAGCAGAGCGGCTCCTCCTTGACCACCTCGGGGAGGGCGCCAGCCCCAGAGATCCGACGTCGTGATTTTTTCGATGCGGGGTCCCCGGAGGTCTCGACCCATTCCCCAGGACCGGTTTTTCATCCTGAGTCGTTTTTTGACGGTCCCGGGGCCCGGCGGGGGCCCCTTGAGGAAAAAAAAAAAAAAAAAAAAAAAAACGAAAATTGGAAGGAAAAAAAAAAAAAAAAAACGCCCGAACATTGGGGAAAAAAACGCCCGTCTGGATTTTCTCAATGCGTTGGATCTCTGGGGCTGCAAGAAAAGCCCGCGCCGGGGCTGGCCAGGCCAGACCCCGGGCGCCCGAGGTCGGTGCACGGCGCCCTCCGAGGCCGTCGCTGGGAGGCCGCGTGCACCGACCCAGGGAGGTCGTGACTACCTACCAGACCACCCCAACCCAACCCGAAGACCCGAATTTCGGGTTGGGGGGGGTACGGGTTCCATATGTGTTTTTTCGATGTTTCCCGACCCCCCCCCCCACTGGAAATCGAGGGTAAATCTGAGCCTTCGGGTTGGGTTGGGGTGGTTTGGTGGGTGGGGAGGTCGGGCTGCGCCTGCCCGAGGCTTACGTCGTGCCTGTCCCCACATGCAGGCCGACTTTGGACGAAAACATAAAAATAATATCAAAACAAAAAACCTAAAATAGTCGACACTGAAGATAGTTGAAAAACAAATGCCCCAAAACATTCGAAAATGGTAGAAAAATCGTCCCCAGGCTATTTTTGTGGCTGTTCTTGAGTACTCCTCCTGCAGAGGGGGCAGGCCCGACGGAACCCGAGGCCGGTGTGGCCGCAGGGCCGCCGCCAGGCGACGCCTGAGCCACGTAGGGGAGGAGCTCGTGGATGGTCTTGTCGGGGCCGAGCGCGGAGGCGATCAGGTGGACCCGGTTGACCGCTGCCATTCTGATCACCGCGCTCTCGTGCTGGACCTCCTCCTTACGCAGAAAGCATCTATACACCGCCACCGTGCCAGGCCAGGGCCATCCTGGGCCCTAGGATGGTGTATACGCCCTCCTGGCCGAGCCAGGAGGGTCTGTACACCATCCTACGGCCCAGGATGGCCCTGACCTGGCACGGTGGTGGTGTATAGATGCCTTCTTCGGACTCCTTGAAGAACTCCAGGTAGTTGAAGTCGCTCATCCCTCCCACAGCGCGGGCGCAAGGCGTCCAGGCTGCACGCAACTTCAACCGGCCTGCGCCGGATTGGCTCGATCAGAGCGAGATGGCGGTTTTCGTGATGATGCTTCTGGTGACGACGATGCTTCTGTTGCGGTCGCCACCGCTACTGCACGACACATGGCCAGGCGGAGATCTTCGGCATCGTCGTCATGCGTCGCCGTGGCGCCCGTCACTGCCCGCCACCAGCGTTCCTTCCCGCCCTCCTCCCTCCTCCCACAGGCCCCTCTTCATCGCCCCTCTCCCTCTCCTCCATCTTCTCCTCCTTCCTCCGACTCCCTCTCTCTCACTCCCTAACCTCTCATTCCTCCTTCCCTGCTCCTTCATGATCCATCCTCGCGCGTCCTCAGACCAATCAGTCAACGGAAGATCCCGCATCGAAAACATACAGGTAGCTTTCGCAAACGCCGCATACAACCTGGGACAAACTTAACCTCACAAATTGTTCACGCGCAGCTGCGATGTCTCCCCCTTCAATGTCGGAGCTAGGCGAATTGCGGTCTGGGTCGGCGCGACTAGGAAGTTCTCGATGACCAACATTGGAGAGGGTGCGCCAACAAGTACTTCGCACGCAATGCCACCCATACCCAGATCACGAAATGTATTAGTAAACTGCGCAACAAACTTTTGAGGGAACTTTAGTCGAGGGTAATTCGTTTCGAACTCCTCAATGCACCTGATTTACGTATCATTTCACCGGCATGATTCCTCAATTTCGCCGTCCGTGTATCCGGGCGGCCGAGCGGTATCGCGGATAGCAGCTTCCGAACCAGGCTGCCGCTCGCGCCGACGCGACCTGCCCAGGGGGGCGGGCCCGACGTGATCTGATACCCAGCAGTGCCACCAGGGCCGCCCGGATGGTGAACTCACAGCCACTATGGCCACAAGGATTGTCCGACCTTGTTTCTCTAAGCACATCATGCACCCGTCTGTGTTCAAGTAGTTCCTTCTGAAAAATGAACCAGAGGTCTCATATTCAAGAACAAACAACGACCTAAACAACTACGGGCTAGTGTGGGGTGAGAAAAACCAACACGCAACGCGCTTGGTGGTCATACAGTGGAGGCCAATCCACAAGAAACCGTCCGCACGAAACCCAACACTGAGACACCAGGACGTCCATGGATTCTTGGTATGGAAACGTCACGCTTTCCATGGCGAAGACATCGAAGCCCAAGATACCCAGGGCACCCTGGAGGCAAGCAGGAAGAGGATCAGGAGGAGGAGGAGGAAGAGGAGGAGGATGGAGGAGGAGGAGGAGGAGGAGGAGGAGGAGGAGGAGGAGGGGGAGGAGGGAGGAGGAGGAGGAGGAGGAGGAGGAGGAGGAGGAGGAGGGGGGGAGGAGGAGGAAGAGGAGGAGGAGGAGGAGGAGGAGGAGGAGGAGGAGGAGGGTGCTTCTTGGCATGGGTCTCCACTGTAGTTGCTGCAAATTCAATCGAGAGGCCAGCGGGCCGAGACCGCTCTCGGGGATGGACGAAAACAAACCCTTTAGCAAAACGTGGTTTAGTGAAAACGACCTCCTCCTCCTCCTCTCTACTCTCCTCCTCTCCTCCTCCTCCTCTCTGCTCCTCCTCCCTCCCCCCTCCTCCTCCTCTCCTCCTCCTCCTCCTCCTCCTCCTCCTCCTCATGACGGCCGCGGCGCCCTCTCGAGAACCGAAAAAGGGCAATTCACCAAACGACGTGTCAGGGTGGGGGTTCTGTCCACCCCCGACGCTCGCCAGTCCTTTCAGGGTCGGATCGCCCGCAGCCCTCGACAGAAGGAACCTCGAAAATTGACGCGCCCCTGGAATGTCGGAGCAGGGCGAAGCGCGGTCTGGGCCAGCGCGGCTAGGAAATTCCGCGAGGACCGACACTGGAGAGCGGGCGCCAACGAGCGCTTCGCAGTGTCACCCATATGCCCAGAACATCAAGCGCATTAGTAGGTTGCGCAACGCGCTTTCGAGGTTAGTGTTGCGCCAAGGGTAGAAAGACGGTGTGATTCTGAACGCCGAACTTTCACAAACAGCCAAAGGAAGATAGACGCGACTCCGAAAAACTACGCTGGCCCGCTCTGCTGCCTACCGGCTGGTTTGGTCAGTGCCCAGCAGAAGCGCCTCACAGCCGCGATCTTCGGCTTGGTCGCGCGTGTGAATTTCGAACGCCATATAAGTATAATGACCCCCCCCCGCGCTCTGTTTCTCAGTTTTCTAGTGTCTGATGCCAGCGCCGTCTGGAGTCTGACTGCACACGAGCGTGGGTAAGCAGAGGCACGGCGGCGCACACTTCACCCGAGATGAAGGAATGAAAACGGCTTGGGTCAGGCCACGGGGAGCCGAAAAACTAATTACGAGCGCGCATAGATCATTCACGTACAACTCACATGATCCCCCCCGCGCTCTGTTTCTCAGTTTTCTAGTGTCTGATGCCAGCGCCGTCTGGAGCCTGACTGCACACGAGCGTGGGTAAGCAGAGGCACGGCGGCGCACACTTCGCCCATATCACCCATAACATGATGTGTCACCTACTTTGCTGTGTTGGAGGAGTAGCTACACGCTTTGCACGGGCACTGAACGAAAGCGGCGGCGGCGGCTGCACCGCGCGGCCTCGAAGGATCGAGTCCTTCAGCGCGTCCACCTGCTCCTCCAACCAGCAGCGCAGCGCCAGGGGAAGCAGAGCGTAGTCTTTCATCATCATGCCTGGCTTCTCGTAGCGCTGCGCACTTTTGGTAGACATCCAACCACCGCGACGTTGCACTTCGTACAGGTTGCTATGCTTTATCTATATATATATATATATATATATATATATATATATATATATCCCAGGAAGCGCCCGCATGGCGCAACTGGTAAGGCACAATGTCTTGGCCGAGCAGCCGGCCTTGCTTGCGGATCTCGCGCACTAACTCTGGATACGTAAACTGCCACAGGCTCTCATTTCGTGCTCCGACGGCTAGAATCTGAAGAACTTCGCCCATCCATTCGAAACCATGAGTGTCCCACAAGATGGCGTCGTCTTGGGCCCCCACCTTCGAGACCTGGTGGAGGTCTGACCTGTGCGCGAGCACGCGCCGCATCGCGTCGACTTTCATGGCAGGCGGGACCAGAGAGCCCCTGGTGAGCTGCATCATAGAGCCTCGGCGCAAGTAGGTGCAGAAAGCGATGATCACCCAGATGCCCATGTCCAGGCGCCCCGCGTAGGCGAGCATCGCGGCCAACCCTGCGACCGTCGGCAGGGTCAAGGGCTGACGGCTGCGCGGTGGGTCCAGCTTGGCCCAGCCCCTGGCAGCCCGCCAGGCTCGCGGAAGAGAAAGGTCGCCCAGCTTGCCGAAGCGAGGTTGGAAGAACACAACGGCGGCGATCAGCTTCTGGCCGATGCCCGCGTCGTAACCCAGCATATACATGTGAGTCATGAAGGCGACGATGGCCACGTCGAAGTCCTGCACCTTGTCGGTGTTCAGCTTGCGCTCGTCGACGTAGCCCACCAGGCCTCGATATAGCTTTCGATATTGCGCCCAGGTTCGCTCTCCTACCGAGCTTCGTTCTAGCACCGAAACGTGTTGCATACCTGGCTCCTTTGCCATCTTCGCATGGTGGGTCTTGCGCTTCAGCACGCGATCCTGCGCGAGCGGGTTGCCATCCTCCTCCGAGGTCGTGCCGTCCGAATCTTCCAGACGGCTGGCGTCTTTCTCCGCCTCCTCCAGCAGCACGGGCATGGGGAGGCGATCGCGTCGCTGTTGTAAAGTAGCCTGCCACCTCTTCTCTAGTGGCAGCGGGTCCGTCCGCCGAAGAAGCACACGAACTTCCCTCTCCTCCGTCGGCGCTGCTCTCTTCGCCTTCCTCACCAAGGACATGCCTTCCTCACCTGATACAGAAGTAGAGCATTGTGGGACCTCATACTTGGCCAAAACGGCTACAGGGCCCTGCTGGTCTCGAGCGAGACGGTGCATCTCAGGAGTGACGCTCAACTCGACCGTGCCCCCACGTTGCAGACCGGGTCCCTTGAAGGTTTGTCGGAGCTGTTGAACTCACTCGGGATCCACCTGAACCCCGCGAAGAGGTTTCGCGACAGCGCCAGCGCCGACGCCCGCCGAACCTGGACCAGCAGAGGAAAATCACGGGCCCTGGATCTCGCAAAGCTGAGCGCGACACCGAGGTGATCCCCAAGAGCCAGAAGACGACAACTATGAACTCCAGGTTCCAGAACAACATTAGCGATCCCAAGGACTCCAGCTCTGGCTTCCCCCTCATGTGCAGTCATCGTTCTCCTCCACGAATGGCAGAAAAGCACCTCCCAGCCTTTCCCCGCGAGCCCCTCGAGCGGAACCTCGGGAAACGAAAGGTCTTGCTCCCAAAGCTCCGAGACGTCCTCGAAAGACGGCGGCGGCGTCACAGACACCAGGGGGTCATCAGGGTCGAGGCAAGAAAGCGCATGCCCACGAGCTTGCGCAGCATCACGACGAACAAATCTAGCTCTCTCTTGGACTCTCCCCTGAGCGGCCGCCCAGGCAGGATACCTAGTAGCAACGCAAGCCCCAGCACCCTCAGGACAGGAGTCATACGTTAGCACTTCCCCAAGCCAGCAGCGGGACCAGTCCGAGCGAATAAGGAGCACGAGGTAAAGGGACGACTCGAGCTCCTCACGCGCTGTTGGCCACAATGGAGCCCACGAGTGTCGGTACCTCCGAGCGAACTTGTAGACCGAGGCGAAGCAGGAGAGGAGAGGGCGCTGAAGCATAGCGAGGTAGGTGCAGAGGCCCAGAAGAACCTCGAGGGCTTTTCCAGTTACCTTGGGCGCCTCCAAGAAAGCCTCCACAGTCAAACGAATCTTCCAGTACCGCTTCCCCGCAGGCCTGAAACACTTTAGCTCTCCGTTGAACTCGATCCCAAGAGCGCCCCGAACCTGGCCAGCCCCCTGGACTTCGTGACACTGCATTTTGCTAGCGTTAAGATGTTATCTAGCGACTTCTGGACCTCTATCTTGTCAGCTCCCAAGACCCCCACGTTGTCCACATACACGTAAAAGACGGGCGCGGAGTCTTTACCTATGATGAGCCCGCCCCCCCTGTCCTCCACCGCCACAGAGCCTTCCGTCCCAGAGGCCCCCCGAACCAGGCGAGCACTGATACGCTGGGCCCAGAAGACCGACCAAGAGAAGTCCATGGGGAGCACGGCCATGGCGGCCCACACAAGCCCGTCACCAGGAACCCCCCGTCCCCGAACATGCGCCAGACCTAGCTCTCGTGCTCGAACGGGGGGTAGGCAACAATAATCGCCCAAGTCGCTGTCTATACCGATTCTGTGGAAGCAGTTGTCCACGTCAAGAGACGCCTCATAAAGCTCAACGCCTCCCTCCACCTCCAAGCGGGCGAAACTCTCGGGCGTGGCCAGCAAGGTGCTAGGAGGATCTCGGAGAAGCTGGTTAGTGCGTCTCGCATCGATGATAAGCCGCTGTCTTCCATCCTTTTTCCGAACAAAGCACGGGGTAGCGATCTCTTTGGGCGTAGTCGACCACCTGATCAGACCACGACTGTGCAACATCTTCAGAGAGCGAACGTACTCATACCGTCGAGTGCGAAACTTCTGGTCAAAAGACGGGTTAATATACTCGCCGTAGTCTCTCATTTGCATCACATCCTTCACACCTCTCATCGCGCTCTCCCTAAAGTTCACCACCGCCCCCCTGTCCCCCTGAGAAACCAAGTCCTGAAGCAAATTCCTGTCCTGGGCTCCTTCGGGCAGAGAACGAGGGCTCGATCGAACTCGACGACAATGGAAGCCGCGTGGTCATAACCACACTTGCTCTGGAGGAGCTCGCGCACGGCTCCCCCCTTATACAAAAAAGGCGGCACAGGCGGCTGTTGGGCAACTCGTCCCGCGACAAAATCGCGGATCTCGCTCGCCACCTCTTGGCGAACGAGTGGGCTCGAAGCTCGGGAATATAGCCAGTTGAGGCCCGTCAAAACCTCCCCGAACCCACGCGACTGATGGCTCCTGAGGTTCGCTCTCCGCCTGCACCTTCTCGAGAGACGCGTCGGCGGGGGAGAAGAGTGGCTGCAAAACTAGAGCGGAAACAGCGGCACCTGTCGCGCCCCCTGCGCATCGCTCTCGCCTGTCAGCGTGCATACCGCGCGGCGACTGCGGCAAGCACTATCATCGGTCTTGCTGGCAAGGATGGAGGCCTCACTCATCCTTGCCCTCCTCCTTTTCCTTGCCCTTCCCTGCGGCCCCCCCGCGCTCGAGGGCGACCTTGGCCTCGTCCCTCAGAGCCTTGGCCTTGCTAGTCTGTTTGTCGATCTCAGCCTCCTCTCGCACCTCCTTGGCCACGTAGGTGCGAAGAGCAGGCGCCACAAGCTGTTGTCGGCGGTTGTAGCCCGAGAACTTATCTGCAATCTCGTAGTTCGGGTTCATCGGGTTCTTACCGTGAGCCTCAAGTATAGCCTGCCATCTCCGCCCCAGCCTCTCGAAGGCCGCGAGCGAAGCAACGTTAAGCTGATCATACGAGATAGCCAGTTCGAAAACCTCCGCCATCACCCGCATCTCATGAATAGAGCGATCGTTCTCGCTCCAGCCCGCCGTCTGGAGATGGCGCTCTAGCCAGAACGCGGGCACCATCGCCAGCTGTGCAAACGACATCCTCAGCCACAGGAAAGTGCGAGGACCATCCAAGGGCCAGTCCGAGAAGGCGTCCTCGACCATCTCCTTGACCGAGCCCACCCAGACGCGCTCCCTGCGGTTGAAAGCATTGAACTTCACCGACAGCGTGCGAACGTCCTCGTCCGCCTTCTTGTCAGGCTCCTCACCTGCACCAGGAAGCTGCGGGCCCGCAAGAGCCTCCCGCAGTGCCGGGAGCCCTGTGGGCGAGCCAGAGCCTCCATCACGCTCGTCGGGCGTGTGAGTGCCACCCAGGCCCGCCAGGGGCAGGGTCTTGCGGCCCGAGAAGTAGCCGTCGAGGTCGTCAACCTTGATACGCTCGAGCGCCGCGACGGCCGAGCCGAACTTGGCGAAGCCGCGGTTCCCGAGCCTGCACGCCACGGACTCCGCAGCGACCTGGGTGCCGATCCTTGCCACCTCCTGGTCCCCGTCGAAGACAGGCTCCGACACGACCCAGACCTCATCACTCTCGGGAGCGGCGGCAAGGTCAGCCTGTCCGTCAGCAGGCTGCGGCAGAGGAGGAGCAGGTCCTCGCGCACCGAGGCGGGCCCGACGGAAGTTCCTGATCGCGAGCGTGTCGTCCAGCACCCTCGCATGCGGAATCTCGTCGAGTCCCTCGTCCTCGATGACCTGCAACGCCTCGGCCCTCAGCTCCGAGAACTTGTCCCAGGGCACCGTCTGCGCGAAACGGTAGATGGTCTTCGGTAGCCTCCTCGGCACCGTGCGGCCACTCAGCATCTCAACTCTGATCGGCCCGCGATCTCCAGTAGTTCTCCACTCCTCCGCGTAGACATCGAAGTCAGGCGAAGCCCCAACCCAGATACGTTTGTCATTCAGTGACTTAACCTCCCTCAGCAAAATCCGTTCATGTCCGTATTCGTCCCCTACGTACCAGTAGAGGGCATAGCCCCCTGGCAGAGCCTCCGCGACTCCCGCCATCACTGTTCAACGCGACCGAGCCCTCCACGACGAGGGGCAGCAACACGACGAGGACAGCACAGCCGAGTGAGTAGACCTCCAACTGCTGCTCCGAGTAGCACTCCCAGGAGGCCGATACTGGCAAGGGAAACGCTGGCGTCTGTGGGTGCAACGAAGCACGTCCTGTTGAAGAAGTCGGGCGGCACCTCGCACACGGGCTGACGCTCCAGCGGCAGCGGAAACACACAGTCGGGTATCTTCGGACACTCCGAAGGCCGAGGGCAATCACAGAAGCAGTCTGGGCACTGGTGTCGAGTGGGAAGTGAAGCTAAAGAAGCGAGCTCCCTCGCAAGTCCGACAGCGAGGAGACCGATGCCAACCTCTGGCCTCATGCGTGTGGAGCCGAAAAACTAATTACGAGCGCGCATAGATCATTCACGTACAACTCACATCAGAGAAACGCCATAAATCTAAACATTCGGAGGTCCGCGCTGACTTTTTGGATCGGCGCTGGGCCCCTCACCCCTGGCGCGTGGAGCGCGCCGGGGGCGGCGTCGGAGGCGCTGCCCGGGATGGCCTGGCGCTGATCCAAGAAATCCGCTCGGACTTTCGAAAGTTCACGTTCGTGGCATCTTTTCTTCTTCGAGCTCCACATGCTGATGCTGATGCTGATGCTGATGCTGATGCTGCTGATGATGATGATGCTGATGATGATGCTGATGATGATGATGATGATGATGATGATGATGATGATGATGATGATGATGATGATGAGATGATGATGATGATGATGATGATGATGATGGAGGAGGAGGAGGAGGAGGAGGAGGAGGAGGAGGCGGGGGGGGGAGGAGGAAGGAGAGGAGGAGGAGGAGGAGAGGGCGGAGGAGGGGGAGGAGGAGGGAGGAGGCACGGGGAGGACGCGCCGTGTGACGCTGCGGGCGAAGCGGCGCCCCCGTAGCTTGGCAGAGGGAGGAAAAAAAAAGAGAGCGCCCCGCGGCCTTCGCAGCCCTGCCCTGTGCGCCATGGTGCCCCCCTCGGTGAGGGGCGACGTCAGGGGGGGCCGGCATAGGGGGGGCAGCGATAGGGGGGGACCTCCTCCTCCTCGTCCTCCTCCTCCTCCTCCTCCTCATCATCATCATCA